ATACTTACATGCATCATTAACCAATGGGATTGATGCATTTCAGTTAAAAGACCCAAAGTAGCAAAACCTCGAGGAAAAATAGCACTTGGCACGGTTATTACGCTTAAAATAAACCATCCAGAGGGGAGATTCTTGCTTTGTCGGTGCTCGGTGGTCCAAAGACCCTCCCAAAATCACAGTTAACCCATCAGGGCTCTGCAACAAAAATCATACTTTATATTTGCTTAGTTATTGCGAAATCATTGGCCCCAAACTTGACCAGAGAGAGCTTCAAACTGCAACAACATAACATTGACCGAAAAACATACCATTAATTAATTCACTGTTAATATGAGGAAGAATGAAACAAAAGAGGAAGAAGATCTCCACAGTAAATTTTAATGATTTAAAAATCCCCAGGAAATAATCACGGCGAGGAAGGCAAACAAACAAACACTATGTGAGAGAGAGACATGCTGCTGTCTGTATTACACATTTTTAAAGAGATTCATGAATAAATAACAATTCAAACCCTAAACCTAATATAATTACAAAGAAACTCTTCCGCTTGAAAACAGAAAACAATGTTAAAAAAGAAAACCCTAGCAGTACCTCTTCTTCTTCTAACCAAAATTTCTCATGTATTGTTTTTCATGTTCCATCAACAAAACAGTCCATCAAAAGTTCAATTGAAACCACAGATTCTAAAGTCCAAGTCAAAAACATGAACAAAATTGAAATTTCTCCTATTCAAATATCATGGAATTAGCTAGGTTCAAATTACTGAAAAACTTCAGATCCAATTTATAAAAAGTCAACATATGCCTCCACTGTAAAATTGGGGCTTAACATTTTCTTTTTGTCCAAACAAACATGAAAAGAAATCTTGCCACAAACTGAACGCAGAGAGAGAGAGAGTGAGTGACTATCTTTCTTCCATTATTTCACGCAAGTATAAATAAAGAAAGCAACAACTATAAATACTAATACACATTAAGAGAAAAATCGAGTATCGACTGCCTCATCCGCCATAAACCTCGAACTCAATTAGGGTTTGAGGTCAATAATTTTCGAATCAGATTCTAAGGAATAAGATGGAATGCTTACCTTCTCCGGTGCGGCATGGCTCCGTAAGCTTTAGTTGGGTTAAACGTTTGGAAACCGGGCTGTGATTAAGCTGAATATTTTCAATCTGGGCCAAGAAGCCATTCTAGGATCCTTTCTTCTAGGGTCAAGGTGGTTATTGGGCCGAAGGTTGTCAAACTGCGCTGGGTGGGGTTGGACAAAATTTCAGGAAGGCCGTTAACGTTGCAAGGTCTTGCGGTCTGGTCTGGGTCACTTTCACACATTCACGAAAGCTCACGAGATTTCACAG